TTGCCCAAGGTTTTTCGGAGAGGGATCATTCAAGGTTGATCTTCACCATCTGGGCTATGTCGCCAACCCTGAGGCAGGTGGCAAGAAACTTCGAACTCTCAAATGGGGAAGGGATGGTTTGACAGCAGAATTGATTTCCCCTCACAAAGATAGTGAATGTGAAAAAAGAAAGGCTGCTTCCCCGAACAGCACCAAAGCCTTCAAATGTAATTTGTTATTCTTGAACACAGCGCTTATGGCATGATTATTTAAAAACATTTTGAAAGTCGCAAAATAAAAAGAAACGTTTTTTAAACTGTCAGGCTTCCGTGATTCAAGAAATAACTCCTTGAAATAAGCTCAGCAAACGGCTTCAAAAAGTAACTGTATAAGTGCTTTTTTTGTTTCAGCCAGTATCCGACGCCTTTTCAAAAGCCGTTCGTTTCCCAATGCGTATGAGAGGGCAAGAAAATCAGCTAACAAAGCCGGCATGGATAGATTTCGTAGGATAAAAAAACAGAAAGCGCAGTCTGCAGAGAAACGGAACAAACGAAGGGTAAAATTGAGTACTGCTTCGATCTCTGAAAACTTTGATTAGAGCATAAGCAAAAGTTTACTTTTGAACCGTCTGTTTTTTAATTTGAAAAGTTGAGTGTCTTTTTGTTGACTGATTTTATCGGTTCTGGTTGAATTGAGTTCTTTTAGGATGTTTGTTGTAGCAGTTTCAAAAAATTTTTGCGAGTAAAAACTTGTTCCTGTGTAGTTTGATTCTCAAGATTTTTTTAAGTTTCATACAACTGTTTGGTTTTTCAAAAGCTGAATGTCGTGGAAAGCTAGTAACTGCCCAGTGTTTTTCAAGATAATTTATAATGAATACGTCGCAAAGTTCTAGAACGCGAAGAAACCCGGAAAAAAATTAACGAATCTGACACGGATTTCGAAAACGAAATCATTGTGAAACAGTCGTTAATAAAAGGAAACGTGTTTGGTTCTTCGAGAATAAAGGGTTGTATAAATTGCGTGCTACTGGCGAAGCGTGGGTGGGACAAGTTTTGATGCCCGGAATAATTTGATTCCTGGGGAAAATACTAATTTAAACATTGGAGGAGAGTTATTGAGTGTTCGATTGCTATGCAGAGGGCAAAAAAAAGAAATAGACAGGGCCGAAGCTGGCTATTTGACAGAGTTACAAAGAGGAAGAAAAGCTAGTCAACTCCGTCCGAAGCATTTCAAATCAGAAAAGAAGCGTTTGGTCATAGACGATATTAATTTCCTGAGCAAATCACAGGATGCCGTTACAGAGGAACACGCGGCAATCAAACTTGGAGGAGAAGGCTCTAGCTCCACTCAACGGAACTTACAATCCACGTCTTCGACCGCTCATCTATCACTGCCGGACGCAACAGTTCGCGGGGATCTGAGCCCTACACTGTCGGATTACGCAGTAGAGTCGCCAAATACCAGTGATTATCAACAGGTAACCATAATTTAGGTTAAGTTTTTTATTTAGTGAATTTTTGAATGGGGGTTGTCTGAATATGGATTTTTTGTAGTAAAAAGAGTTGTAAGTTCCCAAGTCAAAGATTGAAATAATGTTTTTTAGTATCAAGTTTTGGAAGTTAAAAGTTATGTTTTTTTATGTTTGAATTTTTTTCGAAAGGAGTCGCAGTTGCCGCCGATGCCGGATTTGACACCAGCCAATTCTCATTTCCCTCCCGTTGCTAACCAAGCGTGCCCAGATAAAGGAGCAAAGTGGTCTGTGTTCCTGAAAGGACACAACATAAGGATGGCTGAAATGAGAAGTGCCATGGAAATAGCCCGCGAGAAAGCCAGGAAAAAAAGACTCAGTCAGCGAAGTCAGCTGAAAATACAGGTAATGATAAGCAATTGCTTGCAAACCAAAAAAATCAGCGTTACACTTTAGGATGAATTTACCAGTTGTTCTTCAACCAAGGTATTAAATAATTTTTTGCAATTTAAAGGTAGTAATCATGAGAATCTATAACTTGTTCAAAAATTTTGATTTCAGCTATGTAATGGAATTTTTTGAAGACATGGTAAACAAAGAGCCTACCTTGATTTTGTGATAGTTAAGTCAAACAAAATTTTCATGCTTCTCAGAAGTTTGAGCTGTGCTTTAGAGAGAGGAAGTAAAGGAGTTGCTCAACTTTGAGCGCGAAGGTTTTCAAAGTGTAGACGACAACCCAAAATGGAATTTATCAGTAACTCCAGTCTGGCACAACGGGGAAGACCTGATGGAGATTTCGGCGGGAAAGCAGCCGAGCAGTTTTGCACTCCAGCTGGCGAAAAAATTGATGGGAGATGAATTAACGGATACCATGCTGTCTCCGGTGAAGGTATCGCAAACTTCAAGGAATCCCGTCTCTGAAGAAATAAGTGCTAAATTTAAAAGTTAGTCTTCTATTTATTTAACTCCAAATTAACAGCTGTTATGAGATACAATCACTCTAACCTTAGTTTTTGCAAAGATAAAAATCAAAAGAACATTTTCACCCAGGAAGGTTTGCTCTCTTAGACATAAGAACCGTGTCTTGGTTGACAATATTTTTTGATAACACTAATTATTGTTGTTGTATTTAGGCGTTGTACAACAAAAGTACCCCCTTACGCCCCTTCTTGCTTACAAGACATGCAGGAAAATAGTTAACCAGAAAGGACGTGATTTGAACCGCTTGGCCCGTCAAAGTGCATCTGTAACCCCGGCCCTTGCAAACCGGCCCTGAGGAAATTTGATGCATCAGTGGACCATTCTTTAGTTCTGTCGAATGCGATGGTTTAGCCAGGATGTCCTGGCTTATGTTGATTGTGATTAAACTTTAAATGTCAATTGTTGATGAAAAGCTTGTCTTTTAGGTTATTTAAATGCTTCAAAAGTTGTGCTTTCTAAAATTGTGCTATCTTCTGCTATCAAATGTTTTCGTTGAAATTCACTTAGAATAGTTTATAAAAGAGCTGCGTTATAATTTAGAACAGTTATTGATTTTTGTTATAGTTGAGTCTCAAAGCACTTTTTTGATTTCTTGTTCTTAATTGAGTTTCTGAGCATTTTTTTGAGCAGTCAGTTGTTCCGCATTTGAGACCACCAGTGAGCTTGTCTTTTTTGAATCCGAAACAACTAAAATCAATTTTTTCCGCTCTTTTCAGACAAACATGGCAAGCGTCCGTGATATTGTTGCATTAGATGGTCTCATCGCAAACAATTTGATAAATGATCGGAGTGATGTTAGCCGAAAACCAGTTCAAATTTTGTTTGACTCTCGTTGGTTAGATCTCGAAGGTCGCTTGAAGTCTTCAAAAACCTTATTGAAAATTCACGAAAAAATTTTGAAGTTGTACGACGACACAATACAGGAAAAACTGCACTAAAGCCTTCAAAGGTAGTATGTTAGCCTTGAACACAGCGCTTATGGCATGATTATTTAAAAACAGCTTGAAAGTAGCAAAATAAAGTGAAACGTTTTTTAAACTGCCGGGCTTCCGTGATTCAAGAAATAACTCTTTGAAATAAGCTCAGCAAACGGCTTTCAAAAGTAACTGTATAAGTGCATTTATTGTTTCAGCCAGTATCCGACGTCTGTTCAAGAGCAGTTCGTTTCCCAATGCGTATGAGAGGGCAAGAAAAGCAGCTAACAAAGCCGGCATGGATAGATTTCGTACGATAAAAAAACAGAAAGCGCAGTCTGCAGAGACACGGAACAAAGGAAGAGTAAAATTGAGTGCCGCTTCGATCTCTGAAAACTTTGATTAGAGCATAAGCAAATGTTTACTTTTGAACCGTCTGTTTTTTTAAGTTGAATAGTTGAGTGTCTTTTTGTTGACTCATTTTATCGGTTCTGGTTGAATTGAGTTCGCTTAGGATGTTTGTTGTAGCAGTTTTAAAAAATGTTTGCGAGTAAATACTTGTTCCTGTGTAGTTTGATTCTCAAGGTTTTTTTTTTAGTTTCATACAACTGTTTGGTTTTTCAAAAGCTGAATGTCGGAAAGCTAGTAACTTCCCAGTGTTTTTTCCAGATTATTTATAATGAATACGTCGCAAAGTTCTAGAACGCGAAGAATTTCGAAAAAAAGAGTTAACGAATCTGACACGGATTTCGAAAACGAAATCATTGTGAAACAGTCGTTAATAAAAGGAAACGTGTTTTGGTTGTTCGAGAATAAAGGGTTGTATAAATTGAGTGCTACTGGCGAAGCGTGGGGTGGGACAAGTTTTGATGCCCGGAATAATTTGATTCCTGGGGAAAATACTAATTTAAACATTGGAGGAGAGTTATTGAGTGTTCGATTGCTATGCAGAGGGCAAAAAAAAGAAATAGACAGGGCCGAAGCTGGCTATTTGACAGAGTTACAAAGAGGAAGAAAAGCTAGTCAACTCCGTCCGAAGCATTTCAAATCAGAAAAGCAGCGTTTGGTCATAGACGATATTAATTTCCTGAGCAAATCACAGGATGCCGTTACAGAGGAACACGCGGCAATCAAACTTGGAGGAGAAGGCTCTAGCTCCACTCAACGGAACTTACAATCCACGTCTTCGACCGCTCATCTATCACTGCCGGACGCAACAGTTCGCGGGGATCTGAGCCCTACACTGTCGGATTACGCAGTAGAGTCGCCAAATACCAGTGATTATCAACAGGTAACCATAATTTAGGTAAAGTTTTTCATTTAGTGAATTTTTGAATGGGGGTTGTCTGAATATGGATTTTTTGTAGTAAAAAGAGTTGTAAGTTCCCAAGTCAAAGATTGAAATAATGTTTTTTAGTATCAAGTTTTGGAAGTTAAAAGTTATGTTTTTTTTATGTTTGAATTTTTTTCGAAAGGAGTCGCAGTTGCCGCCGATGCCGGATTTGACACCAGCCAATTCTCATTTCCCTCCCGTTGCTAACCAAGCGTGCCCAGATAAAGGAGCAAAGTGGTCTGTGTTCCTGAAAGGACACAACATAAGGATGGCTGAAATGAGAAGTGCCATGGAAATAGCCCGCGAGAAAGCCAGGAAAAAAAGACTCAGTCAGCGAAGTCAGCTGAAAATACAGGTAATGATAAGCAATTGCTTGCAAACCAAAAAAATCAGCGTTACACTTTAGGATGAATTTACCAGTTGTTCTTCAACCAAGGTATTAAATAATTTTTTGCAATTTAAAGGTAGTAATCATGAGAATCTATAACTTGTTCAAAAATTTTGATTTCAGCTATGTAATGGAATTTTTTGAAGACATGGTAAACAAAGAGCCTACCTTGATTTTGTGATAGTTAAGTCAAACAAAATTTTCATGCTTCTCAGAAGTTTGAGCTGTGCTTTAGAGAGAGGAAGTAAAGGAGTTGCTCAACTTTGAGCGCGAAGGTTTTCAAAGTGTAGACGACAACCCAAAATGGAATTTATCAGTAACTCCAGTCTGGCACAACGGGGAAGACCTGATGGAGATTTCGGCGGGAAAGCAGCCGAGCAGTTTTGCACTCCAGCTGGCGAAAAAATTGATGGGAGATGAATTAACGGATACCATGCTGTCTCCGGTGAAGGTATCGCAAACTTCAAGGAATCCCGTCTCTGAAGAAATAAGTGCTAAATTTAAAAGTTAGTCTTCTATTTATTTAACTCCAAATTAACAGCTGTTATGAGATACAATAGCTCTAACCTTAGTTTTTGCAAAGATAAAAATCAAAAGAACATTTTCACCCAGGAAGGTTTGCTCTCTTAGACATAAGAACCGTGTCTTGGTTGACAATATTTTTTGATAACACTAATTATTGTTGTTGTATTTAGGCGTTGTACAACAAAAGTACCCCCTTACGCCCCTTCTTGCTTACAAGACATGCAGGAAAATAGTTAACCAGAAAGGACGTGATTTGAACCGCTTGGCCCGTCAAAGTGCATCTGTAACCCCGGCCCTGGAAACCGGCCCTGAGGAAATTTGATGCATCAGTGGACCATTCTTTAGTTCTGTCGAATGCGATGGTTTAGCCAGGATGTCCTGGCTTATGTTGATTGTGATTAAACTTTAAATGTCAATTGTTGATGAAAAGCTTGTCTTTTAGATTATTTAAATGCTTCAAAAGTTGTGCTTTCTAAAATTGTGCTATCTTCTGCTATCAAATGTTTTCGTTGAAATTCACTTAGAATAGTTTATAAAAGAGCTGCGTTATAATTTAGAACAGTTATTGATTTTTGTTATAGTTGAGTCTCAAAGCACTTTTTTGATTTCTTGTTCTTAATTGAGTTTCTGAGCATTTTTTTGAGCAGTCAGTTGTTCCGCATTTGAGACCACCAGTGAGCTTGTCTTTTTTGAATCCGAAACAACTAAAATCAATTTTTTCCGCTCTTTTCAGACAAACATGGCAAGCGTCCGTGATATTGTTGCATTAGATGGTCTCATCGCAAACAATTTGATAAATGATCGGAGTGATGTTAGCCGAAAACCAGTTCAAATTTTGTTTGACTCTCGTTGGTTAGATCTCGAAGGTCGCTTGAAGTCTTCAAAAACCTTATTGAAAATTCACGAAAAAATTTTGAAGTTGTACGACGACACAATACAGGAAAAACTGTCATTCCTACGGGATAACTACGGAGGTTTCGGTTTATTTAACACAAAAGGGAAGGAATTGAAGCCCCGCTCTGAACCACTGTCGTCTCCAATGGGATTTCTTGTAGATATACCTTTGGAATTGGAGAATGAATATCGAGAGTTGTCCATAATGAGGGGTCAGTTGAGTTCAAAAGATGCTTTTTTGCTGGGACCAATTCGCTTTGTGAATCATAGTTGCCAGCCGAACTGCGAATATTTCATGGGTTACAGCTGTGGGCTGAAATATAGAACAGTTTGCTTAAAGGTAATCAGAAACATAGAAGTCAACGAAGAAATTACAGTGAAATACGGCGATGATTTCTTCGGAAACAATGATCAATGCAAATGCCCTAATCATGAAAATCTTTGAACAGTGAGCCGGAACAGAAAAGATCTGAGGAATTCGAAAGCCCCTCAACTCACGGACATCAATCTCCTCAGCCCTGCACTTCAACCTATACAATCGCTAGTGAGTCTGTTCAAAACGAAGCCGGTCCAAAAAAGATTTCCGAAGCTGAATGTTGTGACACACAAATGCAATCGTTTGAAAAAATTGAAAAAAATCGAAAGCGAAAACATATGCTAAATAAAATAGAATCAACTGCAATCTTGCAACATTTTCATCGGCAAACTGTGAATTGCGAAGAAATACCACCATCAGAAGACAACGTTGTCGAAACTCTCGGAAACAGAACGTTTTATGCGCAAAATTTCGAGCCGGAAGAGATAACAGATAATTTTGAGGCTGAAAGTGTCTGCTCTGATATTTTTCCTGTTTCCGAAACTGAGTCAGAAAACTCAGGCACCAATAATAGGGATTTAGCTTTGCAATCATCATCAAAGGGCTTCAAGTTTAGTTCAGGGACTATAAGCGAGACATCAGATGTAACTATTCAAAATTCAACAGTTTCGCTCATGTCGATTGTTGCGAAACATTGTGGGTCAGATCAGTTGCTGCTGGATCTAATCAAGCGCGAGAAATTAATGCACGGAGAAAAAAACGCACCAGCACCAGAACGAATCAAAAGAATGGTGAGTAAAGCCGCCGAAGAACAAATCTTCCTTCACGAAAAAGAGAAATATGCTAATGGTGAGATTATTTTTCTGAAATTTTTCAATAGTCTCGTTCAGCAAGTGCAAGAAAACGTTAATGTTATAATGGCTTACTCGAGCTACAATTCACACACTGATCTCAAACTGGAACCTATAGTGGAAGGAGAAACAATGAGAATTCGTCTCATATTAAACATCGATGGGGCCAAAGTTAGGGCTTCTCACCGTGAGTCTGCCTACCCTGTGTGGATAGCGTGTGCTGACCTGCCACCCAAACTTAGGTCTTCTTTCGCTAATATTACTTTATGTGCCCTATGGTATGGGTTTGAATTTAGTGATTGGGATTTCGTATTTAACTACTTAAAAAACGAAATCAGCCAGCCAGCTCAAATAGTTCACGAGAACCGAAAATATGACCTGAAGTTCATAACAATTATGCTGATAGCTGATCTTACATGCAAGCCGAAATTGCTGAAAATGAAGCAGTTCAATGGATACTATGGTTGCAGCTTGTGTGTTATGAAGGGAACCCACAAAGCATATGTTCACAGTTATTCACACAAAGAAAAAATTGTAATGCGAGATCCCAGCAAACATACACACCACTTATCAAACCCAAATGACCCCGAACTTGAGACTCGTGGTATTCGAGGGGCCTCAACATTGTTTGCGATGATCGAAAATTTGCCTCTAAGTAGCCCAATTGACACGATGCACCAAGCACTGAAAGGTGTTGCCTGCGATTTGCTGAAATTTTTATGTGAAACTTTAAGCTGTGTACCTGAAGTAGACCCTTGGATTAAAGATGTCTCGCTTCCATCTGAATTCACCCGCGCCCTACGTCCTCTTAATAGACTTACTGTTTTCAAGGCCTCTGAGTTGAAAACTTTTTTGCTCTACTTTTCGCCAATAGTTTTCGCGCCTTTCATGACTGAGCATCAAGGAAACCTTCGAGACTTGAGTTACATAGTTTATGCACTCAGGTCTCTTTATGAATCAGACCATCATGCTGATCTTTGTGGTGTTTTATTGGAAGCAGCGTGTCGAAACCTCTCGAACAAGTACCCCATGAGGGGATTTGATTCTATCAATTTCCATCTTCTGAGGCATCTTTCATGGCAATGTAAGACATTTGGTCCTCTTTGGACGACTTCAGCAACCCAGTTTGAGTCCGCCAATCATCATTTGGTTCGACCTTTAACAGGAACTGTTAATACCTGTCGACTTCTAGTGCAACGTTATGTCAGAAATAAACTGTTGCATCAAACTCCGATTGAACGCGATCCCTTGCAGAGTTTCACCAGCGAGCTTTTGAGCAAACCATTCCGAGGCAACGATGCCTACTCCATGAAAGAAACTCCGCTTCTTATTGAGTTGAAAAAAAGTTTTCCTTCAGCCCGTTTCTTCTGTCGCAGCCAGGGTGATTTACATCTCGATAGCATGAGCTATTCAAGATCTCAAGCTAATAGTTTTGTCGAATTAGAAGATGGAAAAGTGGGCCAAGTTCATTGCTTTTTTGACGATGAGGAAGTTAAGTTTGCGTTCGAGGTGTTCGAAATAGTTGATCTTGTCAGATTAAATTTAGATAATACCGTGTATGCAGAACAGGCCAGTAAACTCGAGCCCCTTGCTTATATAGTTGAAAAAACTTCCCGTCGAAAAATAAAGAAACTGGACAGTATTAAATGCAAGTTAATTCGTTTTGTTTTTAAAGATCTGATTTATTTCATTAAAATGATGTCACACTTTGAGCATGATTGAAGTATCAGTTCCTTTCGTAATTGAGTGTTTTTCTTCGTCTTTTCAATTTCTTCGTCTTTTCAACTACAGAAATAATTTTCAATGATAATTTTAAGAGCAACGTGATTTAAAAAATCTAATTTCTTTAAGCACAGCATCAAAAGCGAGGCATCAAACGACTAGTGCTGAGCGAAATTAGACCATTTTGTACTAGAGTGTTTTGCATTCGCTTGCTCTTCTATACTTTTTTCTTGATTAATTCAGTGCGCCTAAAGTTCTAATTAAAAGTTCGAACTTAAAAAAACTGCAGCTTCAAGGTTCTGTTTGATAATCCCGGCTGGGCAATTGACCAATCGGTTTTTTAAACCAAATTTTAGAAGAGCTTTTAAGAGCGTTATTTTAAGCTAATAAAAATGTCGCAGCTAAATAGCAGAAAAATATATCGTCTGTTTCTTAAGGCATGTTGAGCATGTAGCTTTGATCGTAATGTAACTTTTTTATGCATTATTGCTTTTAGCCTGGCATCAAGTTGCTGTAGTTCTAAAAAAATTATGTCGCGCTGTGCTAGAGTGGGCTGCATGCGATTGCTCGCCTATCAAGTTCTTCCTTTTTCAGTCCGCTGAAAATTTTTAAAAATTTTGGAACGTTAAAGAAATTGCTCGACGGTTTTGTTAGAGAATCTTCCATGCCCGCTGTCTTCTCGAGAAGGGATACCAATTTGAGAGTGTTCGCCTCTTTGGAAGCAAGATTTGAGCGGTTTTTTAGACGATTGCGCTCAAAATCGTGCTTCAAAATGAGCGGTTTTTGAGCTATTTAAAAAAAAAACGCTCAAAAAACCGCTCAAGATTTGAGCGGTTTGAGCGGTTTTTTTAGACAATTACGCTCAAAATCTTGCTTCGAAATGAGCGGTTTGAGCGGTTTATCTAAAAAAAACCGCTCAAAAACCGCGCAAGATTTGAGCGGTTTGAGCGGTTTTTTTAGACAATTACGCTCATTATCTTGCTTCGAAATGAGCGGTTTGAGCGGTTTTTGAACGGTTTATCTCAAAAAACCGCTCAAAAACCGCGCAAGATTTGAACGGTTATGAGCGGTTTTTTTAGATAAACCGCTCAAAACCGTTTAAATCTTGCGCGGTTTTTGAGCGGTTTTTTTAGATAAACCGTTCAAAAACCGCTCAAACCGCTCATTTCGAAGCAAGATTTTGAGCGTAATTGTCTAAAAAAACCGCTCAAACCGCTCAAATCTTGCTTCAAATTAGGTGAAAAATCTCGACTCGGGAACCTCTGCTCCTAGTTTTATGCAAAATTTACGTAAAATCTAGTCATGATGAAGTGTACGTTTGGTTGAGCTAGCATAATTTTTGCTGCGTTTTTTCAAGTTACTTGGCTACTTACTTTATACAAAAAAGACCACTGTGTTGTTACATTTCTCTTTTCTATTTTGAGTTATTCTTCAAACGCTTATTTTACACGAAATTTCTTCTGCAATTAGTTTGAGTTGTATTACCTTTTCAGACAATAGAATGAGCTTCGGCTACCCAAAAGTGTTTCTGAGCTACTGCATGCACTCGTCAGGCCTCCCCGCTAAGCAGCTGAGTGAGATATTGCGCAATACAGGTATCTCCACATTCAACGGCGATGAAATGGCTAATTTGAATAGAAGAACAAATACCATTGTAGAAAATTGTGAGGTGATGGTAATATTCCTGGACGAGGAATGGAGCAGGAGGTTAAAATTTTAAAGCTATAATCTATACAAAAAACTCAAAAATTGTACTCTTGTTGATTGTCAGCAGAAGTTTCATATTAATTATAAATTGCACCTTTTACGAGAACACTATTGTTTGAAGTTTTCAGAATTGATATCTGGATTTTTTTGTGATTTTCGTTAAGATTGGGGTATTATGTAAGTACTAATTTTTTCAGACTATAAAATCCCGTCCAGATGGTGCAAACTTCATTAAATGCCTAACTTTGGTGCGACTTGAAAAGTATGTAAGCTAATCACAAAACTAGACCTGAGTAGCGGGTTTCAGCAAAAGATGCGGAATCCAGTTCTAAGTAGTTTTTGAGGCTATACTATCAACTCTGGGATCGGATTTTGGCACCCTATTTGTCCAAAGGCTCCCAACATGTACTAATACACAATCAACACTTTCTGACGACATTTTTTGTATCACATTTTTTAAATTTTAAGACAGGAAAACGGCAATATCGGGCCTGTGGCTGGCTTATTGGAGAAAGTATGGTTGGATTTATTATTAAATGGCGCCTTTTTTCTTAAAAAAATGGCGGATTGATAACCAATTTTGTCGATCCAGCTCAAGTTTTCCAGCTTTCTGTATTCTTTTTAAGATTTTTTTTCAGCGTTGCGAAGGAAATTGAGTGCATTTCTGTCACCACAAGACACAACAAATCGAATTGGCCCAAAATTCTGCCGATTGTCATCGGAGGTTTTGGTTGGATCAACCCTCAACGCGACCTTGTAGCCTTTAGTATGATGAGTAGATTCCAATGTTTGACACTTAAAGGTAAGCCGTTATAATTTTAGCGGATAGTGTTTTTTGCGCACAAAAAAAAATTCCTCTTTAATTTGAGCTTTCAAGTTATAAACGAACAGAGGGTGCTTACAAATCGAAATAGCTAACACGGAAAAGCAGTGTCTCAGTACAGATTTCGGCAGTAAAGTCTACAAATCTCTATAAATCTTCGGCAGTCATCTATAAAGAAATTTTTTGCTTAGATGATGCTTCAACTTGGCCAGAAGTGCTTGAGGATATAGCATTCAGATGTCGTCAATGGATAGAAGTTTCTGCGACCGAAAGCGACAGTAAGTTCGGAACTAATACCGTTTGGTAGCTCTTATCTACAAAAACTCCTAGGTTGCTGCTATAAGGTTGGAAAATGAAGCTTGCTTCGGGCAATTTGCATAAGTCCCATGATCACGAGACTGAATCAGCTATTTCTAGAAATTAGAAATATAGCTTCAACCCTTGACAATCTTGTTCCAGAGTCCACAGTATGAGTATTTTGCTGAATTATGACCAGCATGACGATTGTTTTTCTAAAAAAGAATCTTTAGTCGAAAAGGAAAGAGGTGATCTGAATCAATCTTATAGTTAGATAGGTTAGGTAGAAACAAGCTAACAAATGTAATCTAAGCAATCAGATCTAAGCAATCAAAAATCGAGCAATCAGAGTTTCACCGACAATAAAAATAGGTAGTATCAGAAAAATGCATGTCAGTTAGATATAACTGCAGGCAAAAGAAGTTTAGAACGAGTTTAATACAAAAAATGACTGGATAGTTCTGACTGTAGTTAGACCTAGTAAATTAAAAAAATATATTCGTTTTTTTTTCCAACTGGTTTTTGAGTAGTGTTATATCGTCTCCCAGATTTGAAGAAGGCTCATCCCTAACTGGGTGGGGGTCTTCAAATTAAGCATAATCCTTGGAAGTGGTCTTTAATTGTTTAAAAGACTCACGTTCTAGGATTTTGTAGAAGAAAGAAAAAAACACCCCATAACAAAGGAAAAACGAGAAGTTCGATACGTAAATCCTTCATATTTCATTTTTTCCTGGTCCTAATTATTCATTCTGTTTAATGATATAAAGCAAACTTGTATATTTGTTTTGGACAATTTAATTTTTCAGGAAACTGGTTTGGAGTAATTTTGGCAAGTTATGCAAAAAAAAACTGAAATTCGAGGGAACTTAGAGCACTGAAGATATCGATGAAGAACATTTACAATTTAGAATGTTTTCAAAAACGGACAGAATTTCAAGCTTTGCAAGGAGCAAATTTTGTAACGAAAAAGTCATATTTTCGCAAGGAGCTCTGTGTCGTGTTTCTACAGAGAGCAAACCAATTTGCGGGAAAAAAAGCTTAGTTTTCAGTAAACAACTTCTTGAGTGAGCTTAAATAAATGACATGGTGAAATATTATGAAACAAAAGTGTTTCCGGTGGTTTATTTGGCTTTTTTACCTGGCTCTAGACAATTTGAAATTTCTTTCGCTTGAAACTTAGCATGTTTCATTTGAGTTAGAAATAATTCACAAAAAATATACGTCCTTAAGTAAACTTATCCTGAAAGTTCTTACCGATTAATCTATTAACTAGATGCATGTTCTCTTTTTCTTACTTTTTTATAATTTTAACTATGACTTCTAAGCTCAAAGCTCAAAACGCATAGTGGCTTGATTAGTTTTTACAACTCTTCTTTGGATAAAATTTTGAAGGACTCAAAGATTTTGAGATTGCCTGCTACTTTGTAAGATGCAACCGGGTAGAACATGAGTTTTTTCAAGAGGGACCAGCGAACTGTTACATGTCGCCCACGGGAAAATATCAACAGTATAATGATACATACGAGTAAATAAGTTTTTTTCTTTTCAATAAGCTTAAAAGGTCCAAAAGTCTATCCTTAAAAACTTTGAGAACTACAACTTTATTCAGCTACCTTTTGAACAAAGTCAGTCTGAATATCTGTCTTATTTCGTAGGATACGTAAATCCTTCATATTTCATTTTTACTGGTCCTAATTATTCATTCTGTTTAATGATATAAAGCAAACTTGTATATTTGTTTTGGACAATTTGATTTTTCAGGAAACTGGTTTGGAGTAATTTTGGCAAGTTATGCAAAAAAAACTGAAATTCGAGGGAACTTAGAGCACTGAAGATATCGATGAAGAACATTTACAATTTAGAATGTTTTCAAAAACGGACAGAATTTCAAACTTTGCATGGAGCAAATTTAGTAACGAAAAAGTCATATTTTTGCAAGGAGCTCTGTGTCGTGTTTCTACAGAGAGCAAACCAATTTGCGGGAAAAAAGCTTAGTTTTCAGAAAACAACTTCTTGAGTGAGCTTAAATAAATGACATGGTGAAATATTATGAAACAAAAGTGTTTCCGGTGGTTTATTTGGCTTTTTTACCTGGCTCTAGACAATTTGAAATTTCTTTCGCTTGAAACTTAGCATGTTTCATTTGAGTTAGAAATAATTCACAAAAAATATACGTCCTTAAGTAAACTTATCCTGAAAGTTCTTACCGATTAATCTATTAACTAGATGCATGTTCTCTTTTTCTTACTTTTTTATAATTTTAACTATGACTTCTAAGCTCAAAGCTCAAAACGCATAGTGGCTTGATTAGTTTTTACAACTCTTCTTTGGATAAAATTTTGAAGGACTCAAAGATTTTGAGATTGCCTGCTACTTTGTAAGATGCAACCGGGTAGAACATGAGTTTTTTCAAGAGGGACCAGCGAACTGTTACATGTCGCCCACGGGAAAATATCAACAGTATAATGATACATACGAGTAAATAAGTTTTTTTCTTTTCAATAAGCTTAAAAGGTCCAAAAGTCTATCCTTAAAAACTTTGAGAACTACAACTTTATTCAGCTACCTTTTGAACAAAGTCAGTCTGAATATCTGTCTTATTTCGTAGGATACGTAAATCCTTCATATTTCATTTTTACTGGTCCTAATTATTCATTCTGTTTAATGATATAAAGCAAACTTGTATATTTGTTTTGGACAATTTGATTTTTCAGGAAACTGGTTTGGAGTAATTTTGGCAAGTTATGCAAAAAAAACTGAAATTCGAGGGAACTTAGAGCACTGAAGATATCGATGAAGAAGATTTACAATTTAGAATGTTTTCAAAAACGGACAGAATTTCAAACTTTGCATGGAGCAAATTTTGTAACGAAAAAGTCATATTTTTGCAAGGAGCTCTGTGTCGTGTTTCTACAGAGAGCAAACCAATTTGCGGGAAAAAGCTTAGTTTTCAGAAAACAACTTCTTGAGTGAGCTTAAATAAATGACATGGTGAAATTTTATGAAACAAAAGTGTTTCCGGTGGTTTATTTGGCTTTTTTACTTGGCTCTAGACAATTTGAAATTTCTTTCGCTTGAAACGTAGCATGTTTCATTTGAGTTAGAAATAATTCACAAAAAATATACGTCCTTAAGTAAACTTATCCTGACAGTTCTTACCGATTAATCTATCAACTAGATGCATGTTCTCTTTTTCTTACTTTTTTATAATTTTAACTATGACTTCAAAGCTCAAAACGCATAGTGGCTTGATTAGTTCTTACAACTCTTCTTTGGATAAAAATTTGAAGGACTCAAAGATTTTGAGATTGCCTGCTACTTTGTAAGATGCTACCGGGTAGAACATGAATTTTTTCAAGAGGGACCAATGAACTGTTACATGTCGCCCACGGGAAAATATCAACAGTATAATGATACATACGAGTAAAGTAGTTTTTTTTCTTTCCAATAAGCTTAAAAGGTCCAAAAGTCTATCCTTAGAAATTTTGAGAACTACAACTTTATTCAGCTACCTTTTGAACAAAGTCAGTCTGAATATCTGTCTTATTCAGGCTTTCTTCTGTCACCATACCATCGATGTGGAATTACGTGCCCGCCTGCCAGATGGTTAATTTGAGTTTTGAGACCTATCGGCATTTTTTAAGCAGTGTTTTTGTAGATCATGGCCTTGACAACAGTTTCACGCTTTAATTTGAGGCGCTCAAAATTCTGATGAAGTATTTGGTTGATTGATTGCTTGCTGACTAACCGTTTTACTTTTTTTTACTTACCTTTTGTTTCTACTTACTTACTCATCTTTTGATTACTCGTATCTTGAAATCAATTCTTAAAATGTTTTTACCCTGCTCAATTCGTATTTCTTATTCAAATTTTCTTCAATTGCGTTATTTTATCTTACTTTTTGGTCTACTCATTTTTAAAATTTTTTTTACTAACTTTTACTTTACTTAACTTTTTAAACTCAATCTGTTTTAATTAACCAAATTACTAGATGTTGTGGCTAAAGTTTAGGGATGATGGGGGGGGCTGACTCTATGTATTATGATACATTATAGATTTCTGTTCACCCTTGCTATTTATCAACGTTGGGCATAGAGCCTAAAAAAATTAAAATAGGTAATAGGATTGCTAAGGTTTCACGGTTATTGTGATGGCAAGAGAATGGTAAGAAATTTTTTTTGTGTGTGGAAATAACTAGTTTCTTGGCAAAAGTCTCGGCGCACGTTATGTAATTGGTAAATCTCAATAGTTAATTACGTGTAGATTGTAGAATGAAGATATTGTAATTAATTTTTTGGTTCATGGTTAGACAATGGAAAGAGTTTCGGGAAGAAACTGAGATTTTTTCATCAAAAAAAAATTAAATATTTTCCAAGAACTTTTCAAAACACGATAAGGTTTGGTATAATTCGACATATTTGCAATTTCAATAAATTATTTTCCTTCTTAAAACAGTGCTCTTTCTACCTAAAACCACGCTGAAACCTACTGAAGTTTTGAAAAAAAAACCTGATTTTTTTAGAAAAAAGATGAATTACAAAGAAAGTATATAAATCACTGGGTCGTATTTTAAGTTGACCGCAGTTTTATTGAAAACACCAACAAATCTTTTTGTCTAAATAAATTTAATAAATGGCATCATTTCTCATAAAAACTATTACATTGCATCAGCTTTTAAATGTTCAATGGTTTTGCATGATTTCCATCATTCAGAAACGTAAACCATATGGTGGACACATATGATCAAACAAAAAAAGGACTTAGTTATTTTAATCCAAAAAGACAAGTTGAAGATGATGGAAATCATACAAAACCATTGAACATATAAAAGCTGATGCAATGTAATAGTTTTTATGAGATATGATGCCATTTTTTAAACTTATTTAGACAAAAAGATTTGTTGGTGTTTTCAATAAAATTGCGGTAAACTTAAAATACGACCCAGTGATTTATATACTTTCTTTGTAATTCAATTTTTTTC